GATGTTGATCAGAGGTACATGTACTGTGGAAGTTGATCAGAGGTACATAGTATAGGGATGGTGATCAGAGGTACATAGTATAGGGACGTTGATCAGAGGTACATGTACTGGGGAGGTGATCAGAGGTACATGTAATAGGGATGTTGATCAGAGGTACATGTACTGGGGAAGTTGATCAGAGGTTTATGTAAAAGGGGAAGTTGATCAGAAGAACATGTAATGGGGAAGTTGATCAGAGGTACATGTAATGGGGATGTTGATCAGAGGTACATAGTATAGGGATGTTGATTAGAGGTACATGTACTGGGGAAGTTGATCAGAGGTACATGTAATAGGGATGTTGATCAGAGGTACATAGTATAGGGATGTTGATCAGAGGTACATGTACTGGGGAAGTTGATCAGAGGTACATGTAATAGGGATGTTGATCAGAGGTACATGTAATGGGGATGTTGATCAGAAGTACATGTTATGGGGATGTTGATCAGATGTAGATGTAATGGGGATGTTGTTCAGAGGTACATGTAATGGGGTTGTTGATCAGAAGTACATGTAATGGGGATGTTGATCAGAATTACATGTAATGGGGACGTTGATCAGAAGTACATTTAATGGTTATGTTGATCAGATGTAGATGTAATGGGGATGTTGATCAGAAGTACATGTAATGGGGATGTTGATCAGAGGTACATGTAATGGGGATGTTGATCAGAGGTACATGTAATAGGGATGTTGATCAGAGGTACATGTAATGGGGATGTTGATCAGATGTAGATGTAATGGGGATGTTGTTCAGAGGTACATGTAATAGGAATGTTGATCAGAGGTACATATAATAGGAATGTTGATCAGAGGTACATGTAATGTGGATGTTGATCAGAGGTACATGTAATGGGGATGTTGATCAGAGGTACATGTACTGGGGAGGTGATCAGAGGTACATGTAATAGGGAGGTTGATCAGAGGTACATGTAATGTGGATGTGATCAGAGGTACATAGTATAGGGAAGTTGATCAGAGGTACATGTAATGGGGATGTTGATCAGAGGTACATGTAATAGGGATGTTGATCATGAGGTACAGGTAAATGCAGCTTAAATCGATGTAGCGAAGAATGTTTTTTTCTTTGTATTAATTCATGTGCATTGTCATTGATATGTTTATTATTTTCTATAAGGTTTCCGATTGCATGGTTGATATAACTACAACTACATTGACTTGTACTGTGGTATTTCCGCATGTTCTGTCTTAATACTAGCGTTTCATAGAAAATGTAAACCCTGCTTCCTGTCTGTTGGTTACTGAACTGTATACTGTGCCTTATACATTGTACCTCGGTCAGGTTTAGATAGCATTGTACTTCCTAGGCCATATTTTTATATTTACTGTACGCTCTGTATTTAATGTTTATATATTTACTGTACTCTTTAAATCATGTTTATAAATTTACTGTACTCTTAAAATCCTATTTATATATTTTCTGTAATCCCTAGGTTATGTGTGTGTATATATTGTACTCGTAGTTACGTTTATATATATATATATTGGACTCCTTAGTTACGTTTATATATAAATGGTACTCCTTAGGTACATTAGTTACGGTATTTTGTAATTCAGCGGTTACTTTACAAATCGCCTGTAGCATTTCCTGTTGTTTTATGGCATTGATCCAATAAACTAACCGTTAATTTGATCGTTTCCTGTCTGTATGCTTGGTTTGCTATATTTAATTACATCAGTGAGTGTGGCATTTGTGGGTAATTTTATATTTAAATGAATGCCACTTTAGTTTAAATAATCAACGAAAAACATGACCATATGGATGCATTGAGACAAAGACGACATGGAAGATATATAGGATGAGCGATGAGGTTCTTTATATGCAAACGAGGTTACCTAAACATCCGAGATGCTATTAAGCTGAGCTGATTGCCTCACAAAACATAGAATGTAACGACAAACTCTCATCAATAATGTAACCAAACGGCTATTATAACTGGAATTAAAGGAACCAGGCACAATCCTTTTTGTTTGATTCGGAGCCGATTACAGCCTATTGCATTGGGTGTAATTTGATGCACTGAGTGAACGTGTATCAAGGCTGTGTATAGTGTCTCAACAATCCATGTCAGCATTCTCGTATACTACAAAACGCCGAAAACAATTAGATTCCCTAATCCCTAGTTTTAAAGAATCTAGTCTGTTACAGACAGATGATGGAGAAATCGACGAGGGAAGCTTTGTCTTGTATCATGTATATCATGAACTGAAAAAATCATCACAAACCAGAAGTATAAGGAACAGGCAATGTAGAACTTCTAAAGTACCTTGTTTAGTATATCTCCTACAGTAGAAACAATTTAGCTGTCCGGGAGTACGATTATTTAATTCACGTGCAAGCCATAATCTGTATTTTTTTTCACCTTGGTGATTGGACCAATAAAAGAACTTAACCGAAAATAATGATCTCTTCGGTGATAGAAATAAACAAGGGAACAATCTCTAAAATATCATGGCATGTAATTAAATCTTAGTAAAATTTACTCAGCGACTATATATATTAAGGACATTATCGAGTTTGGTAATGTGCAAGATTTAGGAAAAATAATACCCCCAAGAGAAAGTAACACGTCGTAACACAATGTTCAGCGAAGGTAGAGCATGGATGCCGTCAGGGACGCGCGGCCGTATACGAGCAGTACCCCGCAGTAATAGAGGAACGACAAAAAGGCCTTCAACTGGCACTCGTACGGAAAAAGCACCGCCAAGTCACGGAAAACCGAACAAGGAAGGTTTCTTGTACAAAGTCGAGAGTCGAAAGAAACTTAATCATTCAGTCATTGTAGAACGATGAGTAAAACTTAACCCCGCAGTCATAGAGATTTGAGGAAGGAACCTTTAATTTGCCGTCATGGAGAATCAATGAAAGAAACTTAACCTCGCAGTTATCCTTGAACAGCAGTTCTTAAGGAATTTTTGATCCACAAAACGAATAGTGAAGAAGGTGATACTTGTAAACATCTCCCCTGGAGGAATCGTTTGTGTTTTTCTTAGAAAATGTTAATGACCAAGATATCCGTAATTATAAATATTACCGATAGTATGACAGGGATAAGACTTGCATCAGAATGATATACGTTGGCTTTATGTGCTTATATGTAAGAGGTCACTTTTACATTGTTCTATGCCAGTTGTAACTGTACTAGTCTGCTTAAGTCCCGGTATTGTGTGAGAATATATCTGATTACATTTTAGCTGTATAAATACACCATGATATTTTATTTGATGTAAATTAAAATAAATGTGTTATTGTTTTACCAAATAAAAAAAAACTTTCATTTGAATAAGATCGTGTTTTCTGTTGTAACCGTTTCCGCATGGCGATAAGCAAAACGTCAATCGAAAACCATTCAGGAATATCGATTAAAATTTGAATTGAACGTCACGACATGACTGTCAGAGTGTTTGGAAAAACTCAAGTGATTACTGATTGGAAAACAGTCACTTGTAACATTTGTTAGATTATTGGTATAGAATGTTGGACGGAGAATATGCCCGACTATACGACACGTTGGGCTAGCGTAGCGTTGTTTCTATCTTGCTCGTTACAATATTAACACCTAGTTAACCCCCTATACTGCTATTAATTTCGGTAACACATAAGGTACTAGGACAGCCTTTTATTTCCCAGGAATGCCTCGATAGTCCAAACATCTGCAAAAGACAGCTTTCCAGTGCGGAAACGCCATTTCATGTCGACATACGATCATTTTACTGGATATGAATTCATGTGTTAATGTCGAAACAAGAGAGTAGTGCTACAGCTTAATTGTTTGTTTACAGTTAATGGTCTGAACTCAACTAGAACATTCATTTTCCTTTTTTCGGCGTCAATAACAGTCAAGGATTTGTATCGCTTCAAACAGCATGATTGACGTACAACTTAACACTACGATATGTTATATTTACACATTATATATATGTTACAATCGAGTGGGAAGTACGATTTATCAAACTGGTGACCAGTCATTGAATTCACCACCCTAATGGGTGTTTTTTTTTTTTACACCTTTTCACAATATTTTGATTAAAATGGTAAAAGCGTAACGATGTCACACATCACATATTAATTAGCCTGAACGAAAGAACTGGGTTGGTTACTGGTGACATGTACCAGTCATTGCATCGTCTAGAAAACCCCAACGCTCTTTGGTATTTCTGTGAGATAGTGCTATAAAGTTGCCATCAGATCCGCGCTGTTACAAGGAGGCAATTATACCAACATACCCTGCCTCCAGCACACATACATACCTACACGCTTACACAACACACATGTATATACTTATACACAACACACATGGAGGCACGTCCTTAAATGACCTTAGCTGTTAATCAAAATAAAATAAAACCAAACCAAACCAAACCAATTCTGTTCGGTATTAACTTAAATTGACTAGCAGATTGCTTAGTGCACATCTCAACCATTTCGCAACGATGAAACATATACTTACTTACTATAACAATTTCGAATAATTTCACAGTTCAGAACAACGCTTTTTCGACTTCGAGCAACAGTATTTGGTTAGCCAAAACAACTCGATGAAACATTTCAGAATATTATTGGCAGAACAAAATGAAGTAGGTGTATATGCTTGTACATCCATTTAGGAAATAGCTATATGATATCATCTTACCTATAAAGTACGATCAATTGTATTTTAACTCGGTGTACTTTACAGAGAGTATGAACACCACTTGATCAGTCTCGGCCGACATTGCCTACAATATTATATAATATATGTTTTTCACGCCATCAGAACAATCGACATCGTATGACGCATGTTTGTTTTAAGCTGTTGGAGTCTGATGCGGTTGCATTCATATTCTCCAATTGCTGCAATTAACACATTTTCATCAAACATGCGAGGCAAAACCGGTTATTATTCAAGACTCTGTACATCTTTCTGAATTCTGTTGCAGATTCCACGAATTTTCCAACGATGGTAGTGGATCGTTACCTTGTCAACTCGTCCGTCAGCAATCGGACTTCAGCGGAGACAACTACCTTTGGATTCCCCTCACTACGGACCGGGGACGATGTTTGTATTGCTGATTTGGGCCCGGCAGAGTGGGTGCTCATTTTCTTGTACGGTATGGTCATTGTAGTTGACGTGACAGGCAACGGTATCGTCTGCTACCTGATCTTTTCGGAAAGGCAATTAAGAACAATAACAAACTTCTTCCTGGTGAACTTAGCAATAGCAGACATTGCTAAAGCATTTACAGGTATTCCATTTTCACTGATGGTCAACTTGATATTCAGATACTGGCCTTTCGCAGCATTTCTGTGCCCGTTTGTTGCATACATAGAGATTGTGGTGGTATTTGCTAGTGCTTTTACTTTGGTCGCTATGAGTGTTGATAGGTATATAGCTATCTTACATCCGTTACGTCCCAAACTCTCCTACAGAGGGGTGGCATTGACGCTGCTTACTGTGTGGCTACTAGCCTTTGCCATGCCGATTCCTACTGCAATTAGTGCGGGATTACGTATCCCTGATACGGAGAATGCTACAGACAGCCATGCATGTTACAGCAACAAAGAGCATTGTCTGGAGCATTGGTCCAACGAGTCTCAGAGGTCGGTGTATAGCCTGCTAATAATGACTCTACAGTACGGCATCCCCCTGGTCGTCCTCGCCTTCACGTACACCCGTATAGCCATAATTATCTGGATACGGCGAACACCCGGGGAAGCTGTCAGGCAGCGGGACGAACGTCTGGCCTCCTCCAAACGAAAGGTAGGTTATAGGGGGAGAAAAATAAAAAAAAACAATGAGTAGGAAAGGAAGATCAGAAACAGGCTCCATGTGATGCTTTGGGGCAATAGATTTTTGGGAGTGATTTAATTTTGTGCACGTTAAAGTACAAATTTCTCAAGACAATATACTTTCATTCTTCTGCAAAATAAGCAGCCAGCAATATTTTCAAACCTGAATATTTGAAACAATGAAAAGCGATAAATATATAATATATTCATTTCAATTAAAAAATGAAATGTATAGCTTACTATCGACTTTTCTGTTACAAATACGGTTTTTTTCATTAGGCAACTAAAACACTTTCGATTTTCAAATTTGCATGAAGTTTGTTTATGCACATGAATATTAATTTGATTAAAGAAGATAATGTTAATGACTTTCATTCAAGAAACCCAATATTTAGAAAATCTTACACAAATATGTTGGTTACCTTTTATAACATATCTGTATTGATGTTTTTAATGAAGAGAAATCATACAAAAAAAATGCAAACAAACAAAATTACATAATGCTTCTAAGAAATTGAATGTTTGAATAAATGCACTTATATATAAATATCTAAAGGACAGTCTTAAGAGTTCTCTCTAAATCTAAAAAATACACTTAAGGCGGTTTATCGTTGCTTTAAACATCTTATTTTTGGCTGCCAGCAGATTCTGTTCTTAAATGGCGTTTGGTGTCTCACTGTATATATTGGGATGTCGTAATTTTCAGTTCTTCTTAATCCAAACATAGTTTTGAAGAAAATGCCTGATTACTGTTTGAATGTTACGAGTATCTCATGTTTCTGCTCGCCCGCTGCTTTTCGTTCGGCCCCACGATTTGCACTAGCTTGGTCCTCTTATACAAGTACAAATTATATAGGTTTCCCCAGTATTTAATTTAGCGCTTTGAGGATATCATATTGAGTCCCCTGATAGTGTTTGTACAGCATGTTCATTCTCATCCTGATTAATAGATGTGATCCAATATTAAACACTGACACGTAAAGCGTTTATAAAAGAGCACCACTGAGAATACTCTGTATCAGTCTACATCCACCAGAAGATAAACGAGTTCCCGGTGACTTTAGCCCCAGTTTGTTTGTTAATCTCGTAGTACGGGCCGTATATTCTATGTTGTTTATTGAGTAACGATGCTCTCTGCTTTGAAGCGGCATGCTGAAGTTTGACGTTTTTCGTGTGGAGTTCCCCTCTTCAACTGTAGGTCGGATGTACTAATTTGTACGTTCCTAAAAAATATCATATTGTATTGTTGCTTTTTACAGAGTGAAGGGATATTAAGCTTAGCGCTTAACGCTGATATCGTGGTAATTACATTCTCGTGATATCTCATTTCAATTATTTGAAAAGAAAAAAACCAACAATACTGATTTATTTATAATGAGAAAACTTATGGTGAATAACAAGTATTAACAAAAATAAAATTAAATACCAGTAGTTACAAACGGTATTGATTTGCCAATGATATCAACACGAACTATGAACTAGTAATAGCAAAGACTTATAGTGGTTTACTGGTAATAACAAAAATCAAAAGTAGTTCACTAAAAATCCCAAAATATCATAGTAGTTCAAAAGTTAGAGCAAACAATAAAATGGTTTTCTAGAAATAGCAAAACTTAAACGTGGTTCACTAGTTATAGAAAATACAAAAACTAATGAAACAGCAAATTCTAAAAGTGGTTTACAAGTTGAAGCAACGAATAATAGTGGTTTAATAGAAATCACAAAACTCATAGCGGTTTGCTATGAATGGCAAGAACTAAGAACGGCTTACTACATGTAGTACTGACAATAAAAAGAAAGGTTTTACTAGAAACGACAAAACCTAATAGCGATTTACCAGTGATGGCAAATGCTCAAAGTGGTTTAATAGTAATGATGAAAATCAATAGTAGTAATAGTAATGGTAACATAAATATTGATCTCGTAGTACAGACATCGATTGTGCGGAAAGCTCACACACATTTTACTTCTTTGTGTGCATACGCTTCATTGGTCATTTGTCTGATGAAGGAGACAGTGTACATATCGCACTAGCCATCGAAACGTCACATAGAAAATCTCATTGGTTGTGTAAAAAGAACTTTTCATAAAACATAAATATTGTTTTGCAATCATTGACAAAACAAATGATATACCGATTATGACTTGCCAATAATAGTTCATTAAATGACATTCTTTGCTGAAAGTGATCTTACGATGTCAATTGACTACGAAAACTGTGTGTAAATCCGATATTTTGTTTACAGATGGTGAAGATGATGATCGTGGTGGTTTTACTGTACGCCCTGTGTTGGCTGCCACTCCACACCCTTCAACTCTACAGTGATCTTGATCCCACCATCTACGACACCGTCCCGAACTCGCACCTGCTCTGGAACTTCATTCTCTGGCTTGCCCTCGCTCACGCCTGCTGTAATCCAGTCATATATTTCTGGATGAACAAGAGATTCAAATACGGCTTCCTTAGACTACTGGTGTGCTGTCACAAGAGGAGCGTCCCCCAACACGAAGGCCGACTCAATTCCCAGTACACTATGAACTCTCTACATCACAACAACAGCAGCAAGACTGTACGCCAATACAGTGTGCTGTCGGTTGGCGGCGTAGGAAATACGTCCACTAACGAGAAACGTACAGTCTGATCATATGTATATATACATGGTTGTAGGTGTAAGTTGTACAATGAAGAAATCCAAATGCAATGAATAAGTGACATTTCGGCAACATTTTGCATTCGTGTCACACACACGAACACTTACAGCGTATGCATTACTAACTTTGACGTGTTTAACAGTGTTGACATGACAACGGGCCCTGTAATTTTTAAACAAAACAAACAAATGCTTTTTACAGGAGACCACTAAAGAATGCCAGGGAATGTATTGATATAAATAAGTATTGTTTCCAGATCCTTTTGGATTTGTCATTATACTATTTACATGTAAAGCAGGTAGAACTAAAAGAACGAAGTTTATATTATTTACTTAAAAACAAATTCATTCCAATAAAACTCAATTAAGTGGAATAAAACGTATTTTATAGTCACAACAAATTTGTATATGAATACATTATTTGATAAGGTATTTTAAGTAGACAGCCAACACATTTAGCCAGATGTAACTGCATTTTTTAATGTTACTTTTGGCCTGGTGCTATAAGAGAATGTCTCTCATAATAAGGATCTATTATACACATTTTACTTTCACCGGAGATGAACACGAGTTTTCTTTTCTTTTTTGCGACATGTCAAATACAAATCAAATTCCTGATTCGGCGACGTCACAGAGCACAATCTGATTGGTAAAATATGCAGCGTCTATCCACGTCGATACATACTTGATGACGATTTTTCTTCCATAATTAGGCCCAATAGTTGAAATATCAATGATTAAAAGGCAAAATGGAGCAGCTGACCTGTACATTCTCTTTCTCTGTCTGCATAAAATACGATGTCATATGCATTTGTACGTGATGTTATTTTATTATTACCACGCGATGATGAACGATTTCCTCGCAATTCTACGTGAGCACGAAACGCGCATTCGATCTCTAGTTTCTTTCTGAAACATATGCCTCCAATCTGGAGTCTTGTTCGTAGAACTTTTGCATCCATTGCAGATTCCTGTCTGTATAACACAAATCTCCGATCTGTAATTCTTTCTGCAGAACACTGCCTTCGATCACGAATTTTCTGTCTATAGAACACGTGCCTCCAATCTGAAATTCTGTCTGCCAAAAAATTGCCTCCGGTCTGGAATTCTGTCCGCAGAACACATGTCTCCAATCTGGAATCCTGACTATGGGACACGTGCCTCTGATCTGGAGTCCTGCCTGTAAGACCAGCCCACAAGGCGATATTCCTTTTAAGGAAGGTGACTCCGATCTGGTTACCGTGTAAAAGACACGTGTCTCCGATCTGGTTACCGTGTAAAAGACACATGTCTCCGATCTGGTTACCGTGTAAAAGACACGTGTCTCAGAGCTGGTTACCGTGTAAAAGACACGTGTCTCCGATCTGGTTACCGTGTAAAAGACACGTGTCTCCGATGGACAGTCCTGCCTGTTGGATAGATCCCTCCGATCTGTAGTTCTGTCTATTGAATAAGGCCTCTGATATGTAGTTCTTTCTACAGAAAACGTGCCCCAAACATGTAGTTCTGTCTATTGAATAAGGCCTCTGATATGTAGTTCTTTCTACAGAAAACGTGCCTCAAACCTGTAGTCCTGTCTATTGAATAAGGCCTCTGATATGTAGTTCTTTCTACAGAAAACGTCCCTCAAACCTGTAGTTCTGTCTATTGAATAAGGCTTCTGATATGTAGTTCTTTCTACAGAAAACGTGGCCCAAACATGTAGTTCTGTTTATTGAATAAGGCCTCTGATATGTAGTTCTTTCTCCAGAAAACGTGCCTCAAACCTGTAGTCCTGTTTATTGAATAAGGCCTCTGATATGTAGTTCTTTCTACAGAAAACGTGCCTCAAAACTGATGTCCTGTTTATTGAATAAGGTCTCTGATATGTAGTTCTTTCTACAGAAAACGTGCCTCAAACCTGTAGTCCTGTCTATTGAATAAGGCCTCTGATATGTAGATCTTTCTACAGAAAACGTGCCTCAAACCTGTAGTTCTGTCTATTGAATAAGGCCTCTGATATGTAATTCTTTCTACAGAAAACGTGCCTCAAACCTGTAGTCCTGTTTATTCAATAAGGCCTCTTATATGTAGTTCTTTCTACAGAAAACGTGCCTCCAGTCTGTAGTTCTGTCTGTAAGACACGTGCCACCATTGTGGAGTCCTGACTTTAGGACACGTGCCTCCGTTGTTGAGTCTTGACTGCAGGACACGTGCCTCCGTTGTGGAGTTCTGTCTGTAGGACACGTGCCACCATTGTGGAGTCCTGACTGTAGGACACGTGCCTCCGTTGTGGAGTCCTGACTGCAGGACACGTGCCTCCGTTGTGGAGTCCTGCCTGCAGGACGCGTGTCTTTGATCTGGGGTCTTGCCTATTGGAAACGTTATAGTATTATCTCTATCTTGAGTTCTGTCTTTAGGACACGTGCCCCTGGTCTGGTTTCTGTTTGTAGGACACATGTCCCCGATGAAGAGTGCAGGAAATGTGTTTTTGATTTGGGGTCCTGTCTGTAGGACATGGGCCTCTGCTGTTGAGTCCTGCCTGCAGGACACATGTCGTCTTAAGTTACCATTTTGCTCACTTAGCGGAAGATTATCTACTGCCAGAAAGTAGCGGAAGCTGACATCGTGTCAAAAAAATCAACAAATATTACGTTAGCTTGCTGCAATGCAGAATGCTATCCATCTTATGTATATATACTGAATAGGACATATATTGGTTTATGTATCAACATTCTCCTGCGTAAATTCTTTGAATGTCTAATTTTGTAATTGCAACTTTAGTGACGATTTTACAAAAATTGTGGTTCAAAATTGAGAGAAAAGTCAATCTTTTTGTACAGTATTGGGGAGATGCTACTTCCTGATCACATGATGACAATTAAATTACGTCACGTCGACAATGCATCGGTACCTTATTCCAGATAAGACAATAAAGAGGCCCCACATATGTGGTGTATTAATAGGATGTTTCAGTAATATTTGATAATGAAATGAAATAAATAAAGTAATAAAAACATATTTCTAGAGTATGCAATAAAACTAGAAATACTCAGCATGTATCGATTAAGGGAAATGATTCCCTTCGGGTAATAGTTGGAAGATATAAAGTGCAAGCTTCATACCTGAAATCAAAATTTGATCTATAGGATTGAATATCCTCATTCAACATGCTGCAATAGAGAAGATTATTTCAATCTGAAATATATTTGATAACGGATATAGGTAATTTCAAAAGTATAATTTCCCTTTGTCAGTAATGGAGATAGATATTTTGCAATTCAGTCATAGGTGTGAAGTCATCAGGAGAAGGCATACATAATAGTTTCATAGATAGTAATATATTCTGTTAAGCTGTAGAAATATCATACAACATCGGGCCTGCAGTCTGTTCTGACTGACGCATCTCTCTTGCCGTTTGTAGTCTTACCACTATTGTGTGCTAGCTTTGCCCTGTTGTTAGCACTGTTGTGGGAAAGCTTTGCCTTGTTATGTTAGAACGGCTGGTGGCCAGCTTTGTCATGGGGTTTCTGTACTACTATTGGCTAGCTTTGACCTGTGGTTTCTATACTACTGTATGCCAGCTTTGCCCTGTTGTGTTAACACTGTTGTGGACCAACTTTGTCCTATTATGTAAGCACAGTTGAGGGTCAGCTTTGCCCTGTTTTGTTAGCACTGTAGTGGGCTAGCTTTGTCCTGTGGTTTCTACACTACTATAGGCCAGCTTGGCCCTGTGGTTTCGATACTACTGTGTGCCAACTTTGTCCTGTTGTGTTAGCACTGTAGTTGGGCCAGATTTGTCCTGTGATTGCTATATTACTGTGGGCTAGCTTTGTCCTGTTGTGTTAGCACGATAGTGAGTCAGCTTTGTCCCGTTGTGTTAGCACTATATAGGGCCAGATTTGTCCTGTTGTGTAAGCACTGTTGTAGGCCAGCTTTGTCCTTTGGTTTTTAAAATACTGTGTGCGAGCTTTTCCCTGTTATGTTAGCATTGTTGTGTACCAGCTTTGTCCTGTTATGTAAGCACTGATGTGGACCAGCTTTGCTCTGTTGTGTTAGAATTGTAGTGAACCAGCTTTGTCCTGTAGTTGCTAGGCGAATGTGGGCCAGCTTCGTCCTGTAGTTTCTATTCTACTGTAGGCAAGCTTTGTTCGCGGTTTCTATACTTCTGTGGGCTAGCTTTGTCCTGGTGTGTTAGCACTATTGTTGGCCAACTTTGTCCTGATGTGTAAGCACTATTGTTGGCCAGCTTTGTCCTGTGGTTTCTGTACTACTATTGGCTAGCTTTGACCTGTGGTTTCTATACTACTGTGGGCTAGCTTTGTCCTGATGTATTACATATGTAGCACTATTGTGGGCCAGCTATGTCCTGTGGTGTCTGTACTAATATTGGCTAGCTTTGTCCTGTGGTTTCTGTACTACCTTTGGCTAGCTTTAGCCTGTGATTTCTGTACTACTTTTGTCTAGCTTTGCCCTGATGTGTAAGCACTGTTGTGGACGAGCATTTCCTGTGGATTTGGGCTATTGTAGACCAGATATCAAAGTTTTACTTTTTACACAAACAATGTACGTATTTAACGTGTCACAACGTTTCAAGACCGACTGGTCCCTTTGTCAAGCTATGACTGAGTGAGCGATTTGTGTTATTGACCTGTACAATGATGTGACGAAATTGTATATTTTTCATGTCACGCGACCCGAGACATTTCGCCTATCGATAGGTAGCATATATACACTGCATCAGATATGTTACAGGTAGGGTGTAGATCTCGCCCCTCCTCTGTTATGTCAGTTTCAGATCATACAGATGACTCAGCTGGTGTCCTCCCTCGTCTCTGTTCATGTCTGAGTTTTCCTGATTTTGATTGCTTCTTTGATTTGTCTCGTTTTTGTGTGTTGTTCCCTTTCAATTATCTTGGCATTGTCCCAATCGACGATGTGATTTTGAATGTTAGCATACTGTGTTAATGTCGATTCAGTGTACTGGTTGGCGGATGTTTTTCGTGTGGATC